AGTCTTCTGTAAGGGAGTTTTACTTTGAATACCAAGAAATACCAAGTTGGATTCCAGTGATGATAGAACATTTGGTCATTGGGAGCTTGGCAAGGGCCTAAATATGTCAACCTTTTTTTACTTCACATATAGATAGAACAAACTCTGGAGAAAACATTCAAAGTTTGCAGAAAGGAAGGAAGGAAGGAAGGCATTGTGTGCTCTCCTGTTATTACTGAGAGAAGGAAACAGATTGAGCAGTTCTCTAATGAGAGGGAGCAGAAAGAAGTCAGCTTCGAGTTGCAGCAGTCACTGGTCTGAAATCAGTGATAAATAATCTAATTTAAGTATTCTTGATATATTGCATTTTTATGATGCACTGACATGTAAATATAAGAGGATTTTTGCTTAGGCCAACGCAATGCAAACTGGTCAAAGGAAACAAGATAGTCAGTCTCTGCCTTTAATCCCACCTCAGCATTCAGCTGCGTCCTGCAGCCAGGAGCTCCTGTATTCCTACTGCATCAAAGGATGTATGCCAGCAGCTTTCAGTGATGCAGTGGGAGAATTGAAAGGGTTGTTTTTTTCAGGCTGGTTGTGTTGTGACTTCTAGGTAGATCAGCCCCTTCTGTTTCCTTATTCTGTTGTGTGGGTCTTGGAAATATTCATTTCTGAGCTCTCTAAATTTATCAGAGCTCAGAGTTTGTGTAAATGTAAGTGCTTTAATTGCTCGACTGATGAAATGCATCACACTTAAGACTTGTTTTCTGCTTGTTTTCTCCTCTGTGATTGCTAGGAAGAGTTTTTCCTTGCTGTCAGCTTTGACACAATCTTTCCCTGCCAGGACAGGGGCTCAAGGCTGCAGAACTCTTTACAGCCATGTTACCTTGTAGCTTGTATGGGACTTGTTAACTGATTTTCCTTTCAGAAATTGAATAATGGTGAAAAGAGGCACCCTAATTATTACCTTAGAACAAAGGATCCTTAAACAGAAACAGGAGGAAAGGAGTTAGCAGCAACTGTTCTGTGGATGCATAGCCCAAAAGGAATGGTTCGAACTCTGGAAGCACATAACTGAAAACCTGGCTCAACAAAGGGGAAAAGAAGTAACAAAAAGTGTCTCAGCTTGAAAATATTCATTTAGTTCATGTTTTCACATCCATCTGCTGCTGTTTACGAAGTCCAAGTCAGCAAGGTAAGCAAAGGAAGCTCCAAATATTGAATCACACAAACAGAATAAGGTACAGCTTTCTCATTAAAAGATTTCTATTGGATCTTCGTCATAATACTAGTGCATGCTCTCTTGTACTTGGATAATACCACTGAAAATTAAGCAAATTAAACAAGATGTATTTAAAATATATTTGTATAATTGATCTGTCTACCTGTGAAAGTATTTTCACAGAATACATTGTTACTAGTAGGCAGGGAGGTGATATTATATAGAAGGAAGTGCAGTTAAGTAATCATGCTTACTTAATTGGTGTTGCTAAAATCACAGCCTTTATTCTGATAACTATTTTGTAATACAAAAGAAACCTGACAAACAATTCATCTGAGTGGCACACAATCAAATTCAAAGCATTCTGCTGATACAATTCCAACCACAGTGTAACACTGTACCAAAGCACTGATTTCTGTGCTGAGATCCTAAGCTACCTAGCATTCTTCAGTGTCTTTCGGTGGGATGGTTTTGATAGCTGGCAGGTCTGCTCCTGCTCCCATTAAAATATGAAGCAAAAAGTTGTGCTGTCACAATGATATGAGAGAAATATGACTATACTTCAGTCTGAACTTTGCTGGATAACACCATTATTTAATCCCACCTCAGCATTCAGCTGGGTCCTGCAGCCAGGAGCTCCTGTATTCCTACTACATCAAAGGATGTATGCCAGCAGCTTTCAGTGATGCAGTGGGAGATTCTAAGGACTGAGGTGGGATCTCAGTGTTTATAAATATCTATAATAGGGAGGTGGGAGGCAAATGGATGAGGCCAGGCTCTCCTCGGTGGTGTGTAGGAAGACAAGGAACAACGGGCTGAAAATCAAACAAAGGAAGTTCCATACAAATACGCAGAAGAACATCTTTAAGGTAAGGGTGACAGAGCTCTGGAGCAGGCTGCCCAGAAAGGTTGTGGAGTCTCCTTCTATGGAGATATTCAAGAGCTGCCTGGATGCCTACCTGTGCGACTCATTGTAGGGAACCTGCTTTAAGAAAGGGGTTCGATTCAATGGTCTCTTGAGGGCCCTTCGTACCTCTGCAGTTCTGTAGCTCTGTGATTTGTTATTTTAATCTGTTCAAATCATATCCTGTCATCCAAAATCCGAGAAGAAAACTCTAACTCTAGTGTAGTATCAGAGTACCAGACACCACAAGCAGAAATTACTGACTCTCTTTCTCATATTCCTATTTCTTTCTTTCATCAATAATACCTTTATTGTTTTATTTTATCAGAGGATAAAAGTCCCATCATTCTCAAGAGCTTGTGTGAAGCATTTTAATCAGAGGTGGTGCATACAGAAGCACAAGTTCACATCGTGAAATAGAACATTTGTGATAATCTGTCCTCTTGAACCTTCCTGCTGTACTCCAAAAGTCAGAAGTTCAAGGAAGACATTTCATTCAAGGAAGAAAATTACAGTGACAACATGGGAGGCTACCAATATTCATGTGGCTTAACATATCAGTTCTCATTTAGTTAACTGTCATAACCTGACCATTTTCCAGTTTTTCTCCCTGATAGTTCCCTTCCTTCTTTCAGATGAAATATCCATAATATACTGTAAGAACAATAATTTGTAAAGTAACATTAATATGTATGGACCTCACTTTCTGGGTCTTAAGAACATGAGCAGTCAGTTTCTTCTTGCTAAATATGTTCTGATTTACTTCCAAGGCAAGTTGTTTCACGCAATAACTGTTAAAAGTGAATCTATATGCGGTATAACTTTAAACATACTAAATATATTCAATAAATTACACAATTTATACAATTTACTTTGTTATCATGTATATTTTATATCCTTAAAACTTTTTGAGTGAGCTCTCAAACAGGCACAGAAATGCTAACAGACCTGTTATAGCCCCAGGTGTTAGTAAAGCAAATGGTTAATGCTGGGAACGTGGAGATGCACAGCTATCAGTTACTGAGAGATAGAGCATTACCTTTCACAAGCTATATTTTCATCAGTGAAAACCTGGGTTAATTTTGTATTATCTGTAGGGTTAAAGGAAGTTTTTATGTACTCACATCTTTTTAAAAACAGTTTAGTTGTCAACAGTGGTTGGTATTTTGAGGCTGTTTGTTGTGCAGAGATTGAATTACACTAGGCTGTAAACATGTAGACAGCACACTCTCAAAATAATGTCATAGTCCAGAACTGTGCAACCTTCTTAACTGAGGCACCTGTCTGTTTAATTTCATATGAAAATGCAGTCAGTGCACAGCAGAAAACATACAGAGGCATGTTTTTCCGAGGTTTAGTCCACCCCCATGTGCCTAACTCTTCCTCTACAGGAGGCTCCTGGAGCCCTGAGAGCAGACTTTTAGCACCTGAAGGGTGGCTGCAAGAAAGAAGGGTATCAGGCTCTTTAGCAGGGTCTGCTGTGATAGGACAAGGGGAAATGGTTTCAAACAAAAAGAGGGGAGATTTAGATTGGGTATAAGGAAGAGAAGTTTTTCACAATAAGGGTGGCAAGGCACTGGCACAGGTTGCCCATAGAGATGGTGGCACCCCATCCCTGGAGACACCCAAGGTCAGGCTGGACTGGGCTCTCAGCACCTGATGGAGCTGAGGATGTCCTTGTTCACTGCAGGGAGGTTGGACTAGTTGACCTCTAAAGGTCCCTTCCAACTCAAACAATTATATGATTCTATGATTTTTTTTAATGGGATACAGTACTAAGTTTAGTACTAAACATCAGCATCTGCATCCTGCAACACTGCCTTTTTGTTAACAATTATTTTCATTTTTATTGATAACAAAAAATAAAGGTGCACAGCAGGTGGCAGCACAGTTCCTGCTTGATATCAGCCTCACTTGCACCTTAGAAAAGTGTATCCAGTCTGGTACAAGTTGCTGCTATTAAACAAATGGCCTTTCCTTGATAGGAAGCAGGTGATTTTTAGCAAAGAACTAGAGATGATCTGTGTCACTGCTGTACAATGACAGCACTTTCTGAAGCTGCATGCAGCAGAACTCACTAGCAGTGAGGCAGAGCTTGCTGCCTAGGTACAAGTTGCAGAACAAGCAGTGCACTGCTATGCAGACCCTGAGATATGTCTGTCTGTCTGCTAACAGAAGGAGAAGGTTTCCACGACTTATTTAAAAATGTGTAAACGTGCTCTACTGATTTCTCCCTGCTAGGCAGGCCTCCCTTGCGATCATTTGTGAAGGAGTGATAATAAAGCAAGACACTGATGGGCACACATAGCACAAGATTTTTGAACACATTTGTTGTGGCTTTGGAAAATGAATCCAAACTCGCAATTCTCAGTGCACAGACAGAAAAACAAGTGTGAAAGCTCACCAGCTTCCTTAAATTGTCTAACAGCTTGTATAGAGCACAAGGTGCTTGCTGTGGGATCCTGCCATTGACCATACTGAACTCCTACAGAGATTATGTTGTTTTTTCCCTTTTTAGGTTTATTGGACATGGCTGTATCATCTGAAATATTTTTGCTAAACTGCAAGCAGTGTCGTAGTCTAAACTTTGTAGAACGTAGAGTTTTAAAACTCTTAATCAGATCCTGAAATTAATTCCCATGTGCTTCTCTCCCACTCCTCTCTTGTTTGACCCTTCAGTGGGGTGTGTGCTGGGGAAGGGGCAGAGGGGAAGAGTTCACAGCATCTTTGTGAATGGGGTTCTCTGCTTTGAAATACCTTGGATCAGAACATTCAGAAAGTTCATTCATCAGCTCTAACAATTGTACTCATTCTGCCTCCAGGTTTGCCTACAAAATTTGATGTTATCATTGAAGGCTAAATACCCTTTTTCCTTTTTTAATTTCCTTATCTAACCTGTGGGGGGAAAAAAAAAAAAAAAAAAAAAAAAAAAAAAAAAAAAAAAAAAAAAAAAAAAAAAAAAAAGCGGATTGCTTCTGGAATTGCTTTGATCATTAGTTAAAACTTGACTGCATTTGTTCATAGAATTTTGGGTTAAGGCAGAGATTTTAATCTTGCTTTGCTAAAAGCATTTATTTACTCAGGTGTCTATTTGCCTGAATCATACATTTCAGGTCCTGGCTGAAGTATCACCTTACACCCAGGAGACTTAGGAGATTATCAGGCTTACTTGGAATTACTGTAGACCTCCTGTGGTGCTGAATATGGTTTGCTTGTTTTAAACTTTTTAATCCAGTATTAAGAGGAATTGCCACCAAGTTACACTGTAGTTCAATAATTAGCCTCAGGTAAGATCCTGAGTGGTCAGTTTAAAGCTGTTTAAGTCTCCTGGTTATCTCAAATTCTCTACCATTGTTATTCTGAACATCTGTGTGAACACCTCCCGTAGGATGCAGGCTAGATTTGTTCCCAGAGTAGGACTACAGAAGTCAGTGGGACCAGATTGGATATCAGTTTTATGTTTGACAATATTTCAGTCATCTATTGCTGACCTCCTGGTAATGTCAGAGCCCTGTGTGGCTGAAGTCAATGGAAGCTCATTAAGTGCCCAACTCTGTTTTTGGAGAGCTTTGGTTTTGTGGGAATACCTGTCCCTGTTTCTCTGCTTTGTGTGACAGCTTCCTCATATTTACTTTATATCTATTTTAAGATTAATTCCAAAAGGTCCTAAATTTTGTGTGTGGGGATAAGGTAATAGGAATGGCACAGTGGTGTCATTCACTGTTTTTACCATGCACACACAGACACATTAAAAAAAAGAGAGAGAGAGGGAGAAAAAAATAGATGAAATAAACAAAGTAAAATATTTTTCATTATATGAGTAGCATTTGCTTATCTGAAATTCCCACCAGAGGCACTGGACAAAGCCTCTCTCACAAGATAACTAGGACTGACTTAAGACTTAATTTCAAAAGCTCCAAGAGATCTACAAACAAAAAGGCATCCCGATGGAAGCTTCTCATTGTTCTTAAGCTTGTGTGCAGGCTGAAGTTCGTCAGATAACTTCTGTAAAACAGTGGAAGCAACTACATGTGACCTACATGTGACTTAGCTAGCTGAAGGCCTGAGAGTGTTTTTAAAGGTGAAATCAATATACTTTCATTGACAAGTCTCATGCAGTAAAAAATAAGAGCGAAAGATTGAGGGAGCCATATTTATGTGATAGTCTGTTCTTTAACAAATTCAAACAAGAATTCAAAATGGAATGCTAAATGTGATAAGATGTCTGTAAACTATAAAGCTTACTAAAGGCATTCTAAGACTTTCTAGGTTTTTAATAATTAAAAAAAAACAAACAAACAAACAAAAAAAAGCTAAAAAAGAAAATCGTTATCAAAAGTATTCTTCCAGAAAGGCATTTGCAAATATGGAGAGGAGAGGAGGGGAAAGGAGAGGAGAGGAATATTGATAATAGTGTGAAGTTCAGTTACCCATACGAGCTCTTTCTTTCTTATGTCCCTAGTAAAGAAAGTCTGCAGTGAGAGGCTAATCCTTATTAGGCAGATATTCCATGGAAGAAGAAAAGCTAGGGATTAAAATTTATTAAAAAATAAAAGTTAAGCTTCATTAGACCTGTTGTTTGTAGGACTGTTTATTCCTCAAAGCAAAAAATATTTCAGTCTGTAGTCATTCTCTGCTGCAGTCAGCTATTTCTGAGAAAGGAAGTGAGCATCAGCGTAACACCGAACAAGGATGTAGCTTTTAATTCTCTGTTCTTCTGCAACATTTTGTCAAGTGTTCATGTTGAACTTTAAACTTCCCAAATGTGTTACAAAAGTTAGATATGTTCCCACATTTGTACATTCTCTGCACTTCATTGGCTAATACTAAGCAGAATTTCACTTAAACGCTGCACTTGAAAATGCAAGGTGTTGCAGACACTATTGTAAGGGCTTACAGCTAAATGTGTGTCTGCCTCCAGTACCACCTGCGGGTTGAAGGGGGTGCTCAGAGAAATGCAGAACTCAGCTGCACAGTTTGTAATGACAACATTCAAACTGGGACTGGAGTGGCATATTGCTCCAAATAAACCCAGTGAAATCAAAACGCAAAGTCAGAGTTCTAATTAACTGAAAATGAAACAAATGGCTGTAGCAGTTCTGTAGTGCTCAGCCTTGTCAGAAACGCCGCTCCACTTCCAGTCATCAAAAACATCTCAAAGATACCCTTCAAAATGTTAGAATTAAAATAAAATGAGAAGATTTTGGTATTCCAATTAATCTCAGTGTATTTGTTGTTTGGTTTCAATGCTATATACAGCAAGATGATACTTGAGTTCTCCTCTTCCTAAATCAAGAAAGTCAATGTGAAGCCAAAATTCCAAATGGGTAAAGATTTGAGTGAAGACTGCTTCGCTACAAAATGATAAATGAAATATAAGTTGCAAAATCCACACAGTCATCACCTACAAATAGCTTACAGATCCTTCAGGTACTGTTTTCTAAAATCATACCCATTAACATCCTTGAACGTAGACTCAGGTGACTTGAATTCACATTTACTCACTGGTAGAGCCCAACTGTTCCTCTGAGGGCAGATGCACTGTGTGTATGGCTGTAGGCCTGCTGCCAGCGGTGTTCTCATGGGGTGGGAACCTACGGGACCCACTCTGTTACTTCATTTGTATTTGAATGTTTCTAATCGACTAAGATTTTGCCGGACTTCCTTTTCTTCTTCCCTTTTACTCATTATCTCTAGCTAATTCTTCCTTTTTCTGGAGTTCATTGGAAAAAAAAAAGCGGATGTGGAATTGTTTCAGTACAAACAAGCTGCTGCTTCTGTCACTGGACAGCCTGGGATCTTTTGTCCCGCACAGGAAGAGCCCTCTCTGGAGGTGGCTGCTGAACGGAGATCTTTGCTGGTGAATTGCCTCGATAAGCTTTCTGCTTACAGTGTTTTGTAACATTTAAATTCAACACTGCAACACTTCGTAGTGTAACTGCAAAGCCTGTGGATATTCTGGGGATATTCTTCCCCTCCACCCCACAGACTGACACGTCTGTTTTGGGGAACGTCGGCACAAAGCACATTGCATGTGACAGCACTGGAAATTCAGTGGAAGCAGACTGCAGGCTGGGTTCACAGAGAGAAAGCTGGAGTAAGTGACTTTGTGATGTGGTATGTTTAGATATAAATAATTGTGGATAGAGAGCAGAAAGAAGAAGGGAACGGAGTTAAATGATGTTCTTTTATGTTCTTTGTGAGTCTCCGTATTATAGAATTTAACTTACACTAAGAAAAATTTCCACATAAGAAGGAATGAACTTACAAGTCAGTAGACAGGGTTCGGAGATATCAGATCTTACCATAAATACATAAGTAAAGTGAGACAAACTTTATTAGAAGTGTATCTGCTTTGATTCAAGCCACCCTTTAAATTCTGAGAACACGTGCACAGTCCTCTACTACATACTCTGCATCTAAGACTTCCAAAGTTTTGCTGAGCTCCCCATGCACCAGAACTAACTGCTGCTTCAACTGTGAAGAGAGGAGAGGTGTTACTGCTGCTGTGCTCCATTGTCCTGAACTGCTGGCTTAGGCTGTGGCTGCTCCTGCCTTTTCTCCTACAGGGTGTTACTGTAAATGTTTTGATTGATGATGCCTAAAGGAAAAATAGCAATAGTGCTGTTTGTGGCGTCGATCAAGAGGTAACAAAGGCAAAGTTTGTCAAGAGCAACATCTCTTGTTATAGTGACCTGGTTGGAAGCAGTAATGAAAATAATGTTTGAAAACTTGGTAAGAGACGGGATTGCTCGGGCTGTTTGCTCACTATAAAGAATCTTCCATTACCCTGGCTATTTTGGCACTACCTATTAGTTTCCCCAAATTGCTACAAGTCCTTTATCTGAAGATGCTTCTGTTGGATATAAATGAAGAAGTGAAGTTATCTAGGCAGCATGGGCTAAAGCTGAAACTCCCCCAGCATCATCTTTCTCAACCAGCATTGTCCATTAAGAAAATGGGTCTGTAAGTGATACTATTCACCTAAACAAAAAAGAAACTGTTATCATGGCATTGGTCAGCTGTGTGTGATACTGATACCTGGGCTGCCCTTGGGAGCCAGCCATCCTTACAGATAATGTGGTGGTGTCCATTTTCAGGCAGATTTGAATCTTGAGTTTTAGAACTGCAGAGGCAGAGGAGACCTCAGAATGCAGCCCTTCACTCACAGCTCTGTTCCTATGAATATTCACAGATAGGTTTCATTCATGGGCATTTAGTTCTGTAATGGCAACAATACCAATTATTTCTGCAATGTTTTGTGTATGTAGCATCATGAATAAATCAAATTATTGGCTCTGGAATTAGAACTATTGATGAAAATGAAAGCATCACCATTAGAACCTGCATAAATGAAGCATATTCTATTTATCTTCTCATACATAATGTTACTTATTATAAAGATTATATATAACATATATGTATACTGTATTATATAAATTATTTTATAATCTATCATTATAAATGGAAACAGGTCAATTATGACCCAAAGGTTCTGACAGTGAAGCTACCATGCAAAGGAAATGTTGACTAATTGTCTGGAAAGTGCTACTAAGAGTACAGGAAATGGTTACTCTAGCATCTTTATCCATGTAAGCAAGAGCCTGCTTGGATGAGCAAGAGTCTCACCTGTGGATGAGGAGAGGTAAAACTGGGGCCATGTTTTGTGGGTGGCTTTTAAAGAGTCTGGCAAAGATGACCAAGAAAATGAAATCATACACATCTCTTACCCAATTGTAGCATAGTACATGACACTGCTATGGGGGTACAACCACTGCAAACTGGTTGGGATCCATAGAAACATTTTAAAAGGCTCTTTTCCAAAAATGTGTATGCTTTTCTCAGTGTTCCACTGATGGAAAACAATCAATGTGGGGAATCAGGGTTGATTGCAGGGATCGATCAACCTCCAAGAAGGAAGCTGCACTTGAAAAGACATGACTGAACATTTTGTTGCAA